ATTCTGTAATAACATTTGGTTGCTATAACTATAAAGTTACAACCAAAGGGGTGCCGAGAAATTCGAGAGGCGTATCATGGGATATCTAAGACTTCCGAAGGCTGGCATATTACTAAAAATTGTCATAATTGTGGGAAAATATGAAAAAGAGGAGACAAACAGCTAGGTTTTTAGTAGAATGTTCCCCTAGCTGATAGGAGCAGGTGCGCCAGGCTGGATACGATTCTACCTTCTGTCAACGTACGCGTTGACAGATGCGGTTTGGAAATTATCATTAGAGAGGAGCAGGTGAAACTAACGAAAGACTGCGTAGTTCCAATGAAGCTAATTTTATTAAAAATATATACAAAAATTCCAGAAGAGAGTCACCTAACCTTACCTAAATGCTATGTATAATTTTATAATTATTTAAGAGGACATCTCGAATTGTGGCCTCAGCATTACAGGAATTCCCAATCCATTGAAATTATTGAAAACTGCCAAAGCAATTAACGCCTCGAGACGCCACTGAAGGGCGCGTGTTGCGTAAACTTAAGGGAAGACTGTACGCTGACGACACTCCTTGAGGTGGGACAAGGGAACGTATTTAACCAATAGAGTTTAAGGTCATTTTAAGTTCAAAAATTAAGTCTAACAATCATTGGTCAGGTTAGTTTCCATCTTTAGAGAATGCAAGAGTTGTAAACTGATCGACCAATGAGGAGACAAGGGCTGAACTCACTAAGTCAAAATGACCAGCCTTCTGATGGACGGGAAAATCCGCAACTGACCTCCGATAATTTTGAAACTAAAAACTTCAGTTCTTCTCTTATCTTTGATTTGTGCGGTCGAAAAAGTTGCTTCGATTTTCCCTCAGTTAGTGGCTGTTAATAAGTGTTGCATTAGTAGAATTTGTGTCAAGTTGTGTTCTCATCAGTAAGCACTACCAGTTACTTAAAAGGGGGTTTTTCCCTTCGTTATTAGCCCTTCTGGCTAAAGCTAACACTGAGTCAACTAAGGATTCTATACATTATCTTGATTAATTAGCATTGTAAAGTTGAGATTCTACAGTTTAATTTTGCTATTAGGTTCAAACTTAAATTTATTGTAATTTAGTTGACACCCTTCCTTTTAACTTAGTCGTAATTCACTCCTCCAGTGGTCTTTTCCCCAGCCTATTAGTTTTACGAGGTTAACTGTTCTTTGTCATTGCTACTTCACTCTTCACGAGTGTATAGATGTTTTGAGTCTGTAATTCAATTATTAATAAAAATGAGTCTCCTTTATCTTGAGTTCCATTAATTTCATTAACTGAAGCTAACTGAGTTCGAGGGTTCCGAAAGTATTCATTCGGGGGTTTACCACATTCTCTGATTACTTGGAGAACAGAGGAAGCATCATTCCGCGTAAAGTGAGTGTTTCAATGAGTCAAGATTATATCACTTTATGTCAGGTTCTACGCGAGTCTACCTCCTATAGGAATACAAGTAAAAGGTAACAGAATTTGAAATTCGAGGGGTCTCGGACCAGTCCAGAAATTGAAGTATTGGACTGGAGATCCGAACTATACAGGGTGTCCGCAAAGTTGGGGTTTTCCTTTACACGACGTGTAGATCTTGAAAACATAAGCAATTTTTCTTAGTACCATATACACCAATGTCTTAAGGGAACCGAGATAAAGGGCTCTGCAACATCAAAAATATCTGAATACCGTCCTGTAGCCGCGACCCGCCGCGATATCCCCGACTGTTACAAGGTCTCAACCCGACGGCAGAACTGGGTCGGGGTCAGTGTGTCAGGTTAGTATGCAACCTCCAACCGAAGGTTACGGTCACGCGTGTAGAGGTAAACGAACTCGTATAATCGATTGCGTCTCAAAAAACAACAAGCACTAGAGACGTGGCTAGAGAAGTGCAAGTATCGAAAACTAAAGTGTGGCAAACGCTGCGTGAAGAGGGGCTGTATCCGTTTCACGTCCAACGTGTACAACCCCTCCAACCTGACGATTTTCCAGCTAGAATGCGGTTTTGTGAGTGGTTGTTGCATCAACATGACAAGAATCTGGACTTTTTGAAGTGCATATTGGTGACAGACGAATCTAAGTTCACGCGTAATGGGGTGAATAACTTTCACAACACTCATGTTTGGTCATTTTCAACAAACATTTTCGTTGAATGTTTGGGCTGGCATGGTGAACGGTATGCTCATTGGACCATTTATTCACCCAAATCGATTGGACGGGATGCAATACCTAGACTTTTCACGCAACATTTTGCCTTCCTTGTTAGAAGATGCCATTAAGTGTTGGAGAGGTATGATTTCGGGCAGAGACGTACTTAGCCCTTCTCGTCAACTGGAGAGTGAGTACTTTTTCCTTTATTTTTTTTTACTTGGTCGCCCTCGTTTCACTACACATTACCTTTGTTATTTCAAGGGTAGTTGTTTCTGAAAAGGAAAACCCCAACTTTGCGGACACCCTGTATATTCAAGGCACGACATTGAGAGGTCCGGGAGTCTCAGACGAAGATCCTGTTACAGTATTAACTTTTTAAGACCTACTTAAAAAAGTGTCAGCTAGCCTTTTGGCCAATATTACTTGACCGCCCTAAATCGTCCACGATATAGCCCAGACCTGTCACCATGTGACCCTAATACTGTCGAAATACTCAGAAGTTACACGAAACGATTCATTTGCAATCGAATCGATGTACGCCCGGAACATCTTGGTGACGATGGATCGAAACATGGTCACAACGTGAAAGAATTCTATAAGTAAGGATCTGGAAGCTACAGAAAAACAATTATTATAAAACTGATACTAAGTTGTAACCAAACCCATATCAAGAAAACAGCGGCACAAGGCAGTAAAACGTAAATGTTTGAATGTAGTTAAAAATAAAATATTTAAAATTACACTTGTGTTTATTAATGGTGAAATAACCCGTATGCTTCATATCTCCGTAAGCTTTGACTCGAGAACCTTATACTTGAAGTTTTGTTTTCATATTCGTGACGTGTTTAGCATTCACGCACTTGTCTCATGGAACAAGTAATCATTTAAATAGCTTCAAAGAACATAATATATCTTGTAGCGCATAATAGACAATAAACCTACATAGCATCTAGCAAGGGTGATCAGCGAGAGGCAGGAAGAAACTACCGCCCCTTTGTACCAAAAGTTGATTTTATTTGTCTATTAAGCTACTTTGAATTTTCGATGGGACACACTGTATATATATATATATATATATATATATATATATATTGTACTCGTATTTGTATGTACTCACGTGATTTTTATTATATTGTTAAGTTTACAATAAAGACCAAACTTTAGCACCCTCTATCTCCAATAGCATTTCGGGGCCTTGCGCCAATTGGAACATTTCATAAGCACATGAACTATCACTATACAGGGCGTCCCAAAAGTATGGACACACTCAAATATCTCGGAAACTAAAGGGTGCCAGAAAAAACTTCTGTTACAAAACATTTAGGAAAGGAAATCGCGCATCTAGTGGTGACCTTGAGCTTGACGTTGAAATTCACCTTAAAGGTCGTTTCAAGGGCAAGTTGATTCCTTATTGCAGAAATAGAAAGTCTAGACAATTTATTTTCAACGATATAGATAACATAAGTGGTAAAATTAAATCGGAAGGTTGTTTCAAGGTCAATTGTTGCTCTTTCATGGAATGTTGTGTAGCAGCGGATAGCTGAAAAAAGAAGAATATTAAAGAAAAACCCTTAAAGCGAAACTTACAGGAAACCTAGCGGCACATCTGATATTGACCTTCATTCTGACCTTGACTATGACCTTGAAGGTCAATTTAAGGTCAAATTGATTGAAAAATTTCATTTTCAAAGATTTAATTAACGCAGATAAAACCACACATGGGGGTTATTTCAGTTTTGTATCATCATCTATGTTTTGTTTTATTAAATGTAGTATTAAAGACTGTCATGCTTTTAATTCTCAGAGACCTTGAAGTATAGAGTCGCAAGACAGAAGAGTACTTTACCTGTCAAGATTATATTGCTCCTTTGCTTGGGTACTGAAGGATTGTTGTTAGTTCTATCCTGATGGTCATTAAGGTAATGAGAAAAATGAAATAGCTATAGGCTATGAGTTACGAGGTTCCATATTACAGCATTTGGATAGAATTGGCAATGTCAACCCTTAATAACTTTAAGGTTTTGGAATATCCAAACTTCCACTTCAAACCATTCACTGGACACATTAGCCTGTCTTGCCTTTACTGGCTGGAAATAGTCTTCAAGAATCAGCTCAAGATTTTTTTCACTCGCAAAGATTATAGGTGACTTCAGTGTAGTCCGTGAAAACAAGTCATTTAACCGTGAAAAAATCTCTAGGTGTGATCTTACCTCCCTTGGTTGAGCATTTGCGCTGGTATGAAAATTGAGTGATTCCATGTGAAAAAAGCATTTTGACCTTGAAGTGACCTTCAAGTATCAGTATTCAGTATCGTTGGCTGTCCTGCAATGTTCGCATTAAACGTTCTTATTTAATATTCCTGCTTCACCTAATTCCATTAAAGAGCAACATTTGACCTTGAAATAACCTCTAGATGAAACTTTAGTCCCTAACGTTTTTAAACCATTGAAAAGAAAATGTTTGTGGTTTTCTATTGCTGGACTAAGAAATGGGGGTTATTATTTGAAAAGATCAACATGTCCTTCGAGATGAATGTCAACGTCAAATCCAAGGTTACCACTAAGATGCGCCACTTGATTTCCTAAAATTCTAGGATTTAAATTTTTTTCTAGCAGCCTTAGTTTCCGAGATATTTTTGTATGTCTATACGTGTATGAATTTTCTTAAAAATTGACCGGTTTTGTACCTGGTACTTTTACTTTTTATTATAGATTGACAACAGGACTGATTTATTTCTGGTCGCCGTATCACCTCCGCCACTGACCTATTAATACCGGCGGTGTGCGTGGGATATCGATCAAAACCTGCTGGTGGCAAGAGCCGTCGAAGATGCTAACCACAGCTTCTACGGCGTCGGTTGCGGTTAAGCACTACGTGCGCGCGAACGCGGCATATTTTGGTCAAGTTCAAAGAAAGTGAGTTTTGGTTCAGTGACAACTGTTACAGAAGATCCGATAAAATAGTGTTTTATGGATAGTTCGTCAAACTCAGTTTGTATAGTGAATTGATAGCGATTTCTTGTGATCTGGAAGACAAGATTGTATTGAGAATTAGCTTAAAATTGAATGGGGGAAATTAGGTAACTAACAAAATGTGTCTTAGAGTTTCCTAATTCAAAATACTTCCGAACAGAGATGGAAAACACCGAATTTTGCCAAAATCATATTAATTTTTTCCTGACTTTATTTTTAGTGGGATTTCAAATTAAATTTCACAATGACATTGTCACGTTCTCTAAAATTGTATAATATGACATACATTGACAATGGCAAACCTTAGTTATTTAACAAATACAGAATTTCCTAGGTAGGCCTTGAAGCTATCAGATAATCATTTATCCCATATACTATATTTTTTTATTTATCTATCGCAAAATCATTTTTATTTTTTCCTGACTTCATTTGAGATGGGAATTTAAAATAAATTGAACGATAATTTCAAGACCCGCCTAGGAAATTGTATTTTTTTTAAATTCCTATGATTTGGCAAAGCAAAAATCCAATATGACGTCCTTAAAAGAAAATAAAGTAGATGCTGGAGGACAGCAGATGAAACGTCATATTGAAATTCTAATTGTGTCATCCGGTAGAGAAAAAAAGTCGCAATATTAATGTACAATTTATATTATACGGTTACGCGATTTTGGGTATATTCTATTTTTCCGTCTCTCTCGGGAAGTACTTTGAATTTCGAAACATTCTATTTGGAATTTTGTTAGTTACCTAAATACGCAACATTGCGCCCATTTAAGCGACTTGTCTCTAACAGTTTCCGAGGTTCAAAAATGTTGGAAAAAATCAAAACTATAAACTAAGTGACATATAAATCCGAACACCCAGTTTAAATGGTTTTATTTTAATAAAAGTTGGTGAATGTATTTATCTTACTGTAAACAACAAGTGAAAAAATTTTCAGCCTTATCAGTTGGACATTACGGTTTTTATACTGCTTTTTTTTAATTCACTAACGCTCTAAAAATGAATATTTCAGCCGCAGTAAAGAATCAACGTTGGCGGATTTTGGTTCTTGACATCCTTTACGATCGGTTACGATGCCTAGAGTACGGAGACCTGTACGATTTCGTCAACTTAGTGAGTTTGATAGGGGCCGTATAGTGGGACTTCAGGAAGCTGGACTTTCTTTTCGGGCAATTGCAGTTAGAGTGCAAAGAAGTGTAGACACTGTGGTTAGGTGTTGTCAGGCATGGCTTTGAAAAGGCCGTACGCAAAGAGCAAGGGGCACTGGACGCCGCCGTAGAACAACAGACCGTGAAGATCGCCGCCTAAGATTATTGGCCTTAAGGGACCGTTTCTCCACTACCAGGTCCATTGCAAATGAATGGTTTGCAGAACACGGAAGACCTATTGGCATGCGAAGTGTTTACCGACGAGTGAGAAGTTTTGGCTTGTTTTCATACCGGCCACACTGGGTCCTCCCTTTAACTCGAGAACACCGACGTAATCGCCTTGAGTGGTGCAGACAACGGTCACTCTGGGATCAGGAATGGAACAGTATTGTCTTTAGTGACGAGTCTCGATTTTGTTTAGGCATGCACGATAGTCGTGCCAGGGTTAGAAGGCGACGTGGTGAAAGGAGGAATCCACAGTTTTTTGTTGAAAGACATGTTCATCACACTGTTGGAGTTATGGTCTGGGGTGCTATAGCTTATGGTTCCAGGTCACCTTTAATCTTCATCAGAGGTAACATGAACGCGCAGCGTTATATCCACGAAGTTCTAGAACCCCATCTTTTACCCTATCTTGACACCCTGGCAGATCCAACTTTCCAACAAGATAATGCCCGACCACATGTTGCAAGAGTCACAATAGACTTCTTTCAACATGATGATGTCACATTGTTACCATGGCCACCAAGATCTCCCGACTTATCTCCAATTGAGCACGTGTGGGATATGATGGGTAGGAGATTGCTCAATTTGCATCGTCCTCCTCAGACTCTAGAAGCACTTCGAGAAGAGTTGGTGGTTGCCTGGAATGAGATACCACAAGAGGACATTGACCACCTGATCAGAAGCATGCCTAGGCGCGTTGGAGAATGCGTAGCATATCAGGGTGCATCCACACATTATTAAAGGTCAAAGGGGTTTAAAGCAGTGCAATCATTTTGAAATTTCATTTACTTATTATGCTTCATTAAGTACTTATACAAAATTTTATTAAAATAAAACCATTTAAACTGGGTGTTCGGATTTATATGTCACTTAGTATATATATTTATGCACGTTTGCTATATCTTCCAGCCCAAACATTATTAAAAAATAAATTAATGTGTTTATAATAATTTTGTGTCTCAAGAATATATAGCAGCTTCAGGTGTACCGCAAGGTTCCAACTTAGGTCCCCTTCTATTTTTACTGTACATAAACGATCTGTCATGCAACTTGTCTTGTTTGAATTTATTATATGCTGATGATCTGAAAATCTTCGTAACAATGTACGATTTCTGACATGATGTCAATATGCCTGACCTCTACAAAAAATATAAAGCATACATTTATAATAAACATACAATGAAATTCAATTGCTAGACATATCGAGGAAAGGATGACCCATTTATGTGACTTCTCAGTTCAAATACAAACGACCACAATACAGTGTTTTTGAGATGTTAAAATGTATAACACAAACAGCAGAAATTTAATTAAATTTTCTACACTGGCGACTTTAAAAGCAAATTGGTTCTAGATCTGTTACAATGGAAGGTTTTGGTATTCCTAGTTCACAAACAAAGCACAAATAAATGAATACTAGACAAAATTACGCTGGCGTCTAAGTTATACTAAGTGGCATATAAATCCGAACACCCAGTCTAAATGGTTTTATTTTAATAAAATTTTGTATAAGTACTTAATGAAGCACAATAAGTAAATGATAAAAATTTCAAAATGATTGCACTGCTTTAAAGCCCTTTGACCTTTAATGATGTGTGGATGCACCCTGATGTGCTACGCATTCTCCAATGCGCCTAGGCATGCTTCTGATGTCCTCCTGTGGTATCTCATTCCAGGCAACCACCAACTCCTCTCGAAGTGCTTCTAGAGTCTGAGGAGGACGTTGCAAATTGAGCAATCTCCTACCCATCATATCCCACACGTGCTCAATTGGGGATAAGTCGGGAGATCTTGGTGGCCATGCTAACAATGTGACATCATTATGTTGAAAGAAGTCTATTGTAACTCTTGCAACATGTGGTCGGGCATTATCTTATTGGAAAGTTGGATCTGCCAGGGTGTCAAGATAGGGTAAAAGATGGGGTTCTAGAACTTCGTGGATATAACGCTGCGCGTTCATGTTATCTCTGATGAAGATTAAAGGTGACCTGGAACCATAAGCTATAGCACCCCAAACCATAACTCCAACAGTGTGATGAACATGTCTTTCAACAAAAAACTGTGGATTCCTCCTTTCACCACGTCGCCTTATAACCCTGGCACGACCATCGTGCGTGCCTAAACAAAATCGAGACTCGTCACTAAAGACAATACTGTTCCATTCCTGATCCCAGACTGACCGTTGTCTGCACCACTCAAGGCGATTACGTCGGTGTTCTCGAGTTAAAGGGAGGACCCAGTGTGGCCGGTATGAAAACAAGCCAAAACTTCTCATTCGTCGGTAAACACTTCGCATGCCAATAGGTCTTCCGTGTTCTGCACACCATTCATTTGCAATAGACCTGGTAGTGGAGAAACGGTCCCTTAAGGCCAATAATCTTAAGCGGCGATCTTCACGGTCTGTTGTTCTACGGCGGCGTCCAGTGCCCCTTGCTCTTTGCGTACGTCCTTCTCGAAGCCATGCCTGACAACACCTAACCACAGTGTCTACACTTCTTTGCACTCTAACTGCAATTGCCCGAAAAGAAAGTCCAGCTTCCCGAAGTCCCACTATACGGCCCCTATCAAACTCACTAAGTTGACGAAATCGTACAGGTCTCCGTACTCTAGGCATCGTAACCGATCGTAAAGGATGTTAAGAACCAAAATCCGCCAACGTTGATTCTTTACTGTGGCTGAAATATTCATTTTTAGAGCGTTAGTGAATTAAAAAAAAAACAGTATAAAAACCGGAATGTCCAACTGATAAGGCTGAAAATTTTTTCACTTGTTATTTACAGTAAGATAAATACATTCACCAACTTTTATTAAAATAAAACCATTTAAACTGGGTGTTCGGATTTATATGTCACTTAGTATATTTAACTGGCCGATGTATATTTTATCAAACTATTAAATTGTTTATAATGATCAATGTTTCCAATTTACGATCGTTTAGCAAACGATTCTTTCAATGGCTCATTGCAATTTATGAATAGTTGGAAATTATCGGCAAGTTGTGGAAGTAAACGAATTAACGACCCGATAGCGTTTAACAAAACGTACAGCTGTCTAGAGCACATAAAACGATTTTCTGTTTCTAAGAAGTTCAGAATTTAGTGCATTTCATACCATTTTAATGTCTTATTTTATATTGCGTATGATAAAGAACACTTTCACATCATTCATAGATGGATAGTAAACTCTCTGTTTCAACTAGATTAAACTAATATATTTCTTTTCAAGAAGCTTTGTTCATGATAGAATAATAATACTCGTAAATTTCTTTCAGCATGCTTTTGATAACACTACAATTGTTTGGCTTCTTAAAATATGTTCAATTGTTGTACAACGTGGTACCCGGGAGCGGGGAAACTTTAAATACTTTATGAATCTAAAGGCAATTTAATTTAAACAAAATGCATTTTTATTTCTTAAAAATAATACCGCTTAAATGTCTCCCCCCCCCCTTCTCTATATGCACTCTTGAATTCTTGCATGCAAATTCAAGACAATCCATAGCCAACTTTGCATAGTTAGGGAATAATAACATTGTCAAAACTTCCCACTCCCGGGGACCACCTTGTATTTACAATGTCTTCCAGACGCTCTATGTCCAAACACTTGCTATCAATTTATTTCATTCCATAGATGCTAAGTTCATCTAACAAACAGCTGTAGTGTCGTTGTGACCCATAAAGTGCAAGTGTCGTTTATATTGGAACACAGCCAACGTGATCGAAGATGGGGAGGTTTCCGAGATTATGTCCGAATGGACGATGCTTCAGATTCACCTGGACACCAACCAATGAAAACTACATGCAAGCCCTGCCCAAACCTAAAGAAGCTAATGGTAAGTCTGACTAACAGGTTCAATAGAAATTCCCAGAAAACCGGACTACCAAATATTGCTTGTAATAAGTGAGTCAAGCTTTAATGTATTATAATGAAATCATCTCGGAATTTATAATTCTCGTTTTTTTTGTATCTGACAGCTCGATTTAAATGCTAAACATACGCAGAAGCTATATGTTTGACATCAGTTTTGCTGGTGTAATGTAAATAAAAGATTGTGAATAAAAATAAATCTAATATAGGAGGTTCATTTACTTTCGATAAACACGTATGTAACATCAAAATTGTCTATGGAAATACCTGCATATATACCTAACTATTCTTTCATGAAGTACAAGTATCCCACGTTATACTGTTTCCTTTTATAAATACCTAGGGTCATCAATAAAAATACCTATTCAGGCTTCTCCAATCGTTCGTACTCTGGTTAGTATATTAGCTATTGTTTATTTCTATTCAAGCATTGCAAACGTTTTCATCTGCATTTTTTTATCTGTGTGACAATTAAATTCATATTGATAAAAATAATTAAGGACTGACATACGACGCATATCTATAAGGGGCCGTTCAAGTATTACGTGAGCACTACAGGGGGGGCGGAGGGGTCGTTGCTTTGCTTATTTTGGATGACATGGGGGGTAGGGGAGTCTAGTTGATGATTACGTCATCGGTAGTTATTTACCTTTTTACACGAATGGCAACCCTCACATTGTCTTGGCTTGAAAACGAAACGCATTTTCGGGGATTCCCGCAAATAATGCATACGTTTAGTGAACAGCGCGCGGTAATTCCCCTACTCGCTTTAGAACCGAGTAGGGGAATTACCGCGCGGTGTTCACTTATCTAAATTTCCTCTATCAGTGTATTGTTTCGTTTAGATACTATAGCGAGTAGACGTATTGTAAGAATAGTAAAGCAAGTTAACATTTGTGTTACCATTGATTCCATTAGCCAAAGTTAATGTTTAAATGAGATGTCGTTTCACACAGACAAATCCAAGTTATACCAAAGATTGTTTGAAAGTTTTAAAAAATCTCATACAAGTACGAAAGTACAAAATGTACAAAAGTTAGTTAACGAATTGTGGCGAAATTACAAATTACAAGCAAAATCCGACAAGGAACTAGATATTATTGTATCTAAGAGAATCGAAGAAGAATTGCAAGCGGCGACTAAGAAGAAATCCAATCTACTATTTTTTTTTTCTAAGGTGAGTGACGAAATCATTTTAGGTACCTATGAGTACTAGAAATATTAGAAATCGCCAAAAAGTTTCTCTTTACTGATTAGAAATATTATGGCCTATCTCAAAGTATAGAGCTAATATTCATTATATTATAGATTTATTTCTTATGATTGATTCCGTCAATTGGTCACAAAGTACAGGATGTTAGTTTTATACATATATACAGAAAACTAACACCCTGTATTTTGTGACCGGAACGAATTGCTCGTTTAAAATATTAGATTTAGAGCCATAGGGTTTTGTATTTACCATATATATTGCCATACTTTGTATTTATGTAGCTTAATAAGAGAATCTTTAGCAGAAGCCATAGAAAGTTTTTATTTTTAGTCAACCTGTAAACCTGCAGAAAAAACACAAATTATACAGTCAGCTTCAAATATTAAAAAAGATGAAGAAGATAAAATAAAACCCGGTAATGAATCACAACAGCAATGCGAAATTAATGATAATATAGATAAACAGAGAGCAAAACCTTCTCAGGAAGCTATGAAAAATAAGATTGCTCTACTCGAAAAAAATCTGAATGCTTTGTATTCAGCCAGAGATACTATGCCAAGCCGTGCTGAAGTTGATAAACAGATCATTAAGTTGCGCGAGGAAATAAAACCAGCAAAACGGTGTTTAAACAGGAAGGTTCAAAACGCAGTTGCCCAGAAGAAACACAGGGATGGTATGAAAAGATATTTGTCATGAAAATCCAGAAATAAAAAAAGACTATCTCTGAGGGATTCAGTGGGACGTCCTAATCTTGAAAGCAATCAACATTCAGTATTGAAAACAATCGCGGATATAGCTTTATTTGGGAGTGCAGCAGATGATAGAAGACGAACGGAATCAATTCGCAGCGTTGAAACTCTTGATGAACTCACACAGGAATTACGTAAAATAGGATTTGACATTGGTCGCAGTGGGACATATCTTCGTTTGATTCCCAGAAAATCTAATTCTGCAGAGGGACGAAGACATGTACATGTATCGACAGGCCCTGTTAAGCTCATTCGGGCTCAAACTGATCACCACAAGAGCCACTTAGATAGCAAATTCGCTGAAACATCAATCCATTATTTAGAGAACATAGCATCCATACTTGGACCAGATCAAGTATTTTTCATATCTCAAGATGATAAAGCTCGAGTCCCTAGGCGTAACTGCGGCAAATAAGCAAGCACCTCTTCTAATGCACATGGAATATAGAATCAACGAAGTCCCCAACAAGACCGAAGTTACACAATGTAGTATAAAATGACTAGAAGGCCTCAATTTTCAAGGCCACAGGAGATTCCTTCTTTTTGCGGATGTTACCCATTATTTTCCTATTTTTCGTTATATACTTTTCTCCGCATGATCATTTTCTGTTTGTAGAGCACCACAACAAGTGGCTATAACAGGCCGCGTGGTTGTGGTTAGATGTCGCCTTGAAAATTCGAGGTCTTCTAGTCATTTTATACTACAATGTGTAAGTTGTCTCTTGTTGGGGACTTCGTGTGTCATTTTTTTTTCCTCTCCATCTTCGTTTCTTCACGTTGCACCCGTATCCAGATGTATGGGCATGTGTATCTACCTTTGTGGTGGCATATGTGCATTCACTTCGGGCATCGGTATCATATTTGATAAATGTCTCAAATTCTTAACACATGTGAATAATAACAACAAGAACTATTTTTAAATAAGCAATTTTTCGACTATCAAATTAAAAAAATGTTGTGCAAATCACTGATCATGTCTAAGATTACTTACTGTGATGTTCCAGTTTTACACTCCACTGCTCTCAATTGTTTCCAAAAAATTCAAAATGCCGTTTGCAGATTGATCAATAACATAAGAAAGTATGATCATATACTTACTTAAAATATACTAAGTGACATATAAATCCGAACACCCAGTTTAAATGGTTTTATTTTAATAAAATTTTGTATAAGTACTTAATGAAGCATAATAAGTAAATGATAAAAATTTCAAAATGATTGCACTGCTTTAAAGCCCTTTGACCTTTAATAATGTGTGGATGCATCAGGGTGCTACGCATTCTCCAACGCGCCTAGGCATGCTTCTGATCAGGTGGTCAATGTCCTTCTGTGGTATCTCATTCCAGGCAACCACCAACTCCTCTCGAAGTGCTTCTAGAGTCTGAGGAGGACGTTGCAAATTGAGCAATCTCCTACCCATCATATCCCACACGTGCTCAATTGGGGATAAGTCGGGAGATCTTGGTGGCCATGGTAACAATGTGACATCATTATGTTGAAAGAAGTCTATTGTGACTCTTGCAACATGTGGTCGGGCATTATCTTGTTGGAAAGTTGGATCTGCCAGGGTGTCAAGATAGGATAAAAGATGGGGTTCTAGAACTTCGTGGATATAACGCTGCGCATTCATGTTACCTCTGATGAAGATTAAAGGTGACCTGGAACCATAAGCTATAGCACCCCAAACCGTAACTCCAACAGTGTGATGAACATGTCTTTCAACAAAAAACTGTGGATTCCTCCTTTCACCACGTCGCCTTCTAACCCTGGCACGACCATCGTGCATGCCTAAACAAAATCGAGACTCGTCACTAAAGACAATACTGTTCCATTCCTGATCCCAGAGTGACCGTTGTCTGCACCACTCAAGGCGATTACGTCGGTGTTCTCGAGTTGTGGCCGGTATGAAAACAAGCCAAAACTTCTCATTCGTCGGTAAACACTTCGCATGCCAATAGGTCTTCCGTGTTCTGCAAACCATTCATTTGCAATGGACCTGGTAGTGGAGAAACGGTCCCTTAAAGCCAATAATCTTAGGCGGCGATCTTCACGGTCTGTTGTTCTACGGCGGCGTCCAGTGCCCCTTGCTCTTTGCGTACGGCCTTCTCGAAGCCATGCCTGACAACACCTAACCACAGTGTCTACACTTCGGATTTATATGTCACTTAGTATACATGAAATGGCTGAGATTAAAATAGCTTTATGAGTTACACTTAGTCACTTATACCCATAAGCTTTTACTTACAGCCATTCCTCCATTTTTAAAGGTTAAGGTGATACCTAGCAGTCAGATTCACACAAGAGATAATGACCCTCCATAATACAGCCTTCTTTCGTAAATGCTTTACATACAATGCAGTTATTCTCTATAACGAACTTGCTCAATGAGCCATAAAATTAGAAAACACAGTAGTATGGATAAATTAATATACCTAACTTAGTTGTTCTTTTTAACCTTCCACTTCAAACAAATGTTCACTGTCAAATTTAATTCTTTTCACTGTGAAACTGTTATAATTTATATTTTATACACAACTTATTTATACAAAGTACGATTACTCTTGTTAACATTGAAATATTCTATATTTTCTTTTTTGTTGGACTGTTTTTTGACAGAATAGCATAATGGTAAGCTTTGTCCCTAATAAAGAGGATTATTATTATACAGGGTGACTTCGAAGTTGAGTCATTTATTTTAACAGTGAGTAGATCTGATCAAAAGAAATGTTTTTTTCCTTTACCATTTTTCTGGTAAAATTAAAGTAACAAAGTTATAGCCCTTTGGAGGTTTGAGTACCGCCCTGTCTCAATAATAATATTATGTGCTCGTGTTTGGCGACAACGGATATAATCCGCCGTATCGGTTCATCGCATCGGAAACAAAAAAGCGAAAGAATTTGGAACGATGTTTTTACAATTATTTTATTCATTTGTATACAGTCAGTGTCAGTGAATAGTGGTGTCTGTTGCGTGGCTCAAACGAAATAAAAAATGGCACATGTT